AAAAAATAAAAAAAAAGTAATAAAAAATTTAAATATAATAAAAAAAATATATATATATTTTTTTTTTTTCATACTGTCACCAGTCAGTGTCTCTGTTCACCGCCATGCCAGTTATATGATGACGCTGTACTGCACTGGTGACAGTATGTAAAAAAAAAAATAGTGAAAATAATTTTTTTAATTTTTTCATTTTCCGAAAAATTATGACAAAAAAATACAACTTCAAAAAACTCGCCATGCCTCTTATGAAGTACGTCGGACTGTCTACTCTGCAAAAAGGGGTCATTTGGGGATATCTGTACTATTCTGACATTCTTGGACCTCAAGAAATTAGATTGGCTGTCAGTACTTCAGGATTGATCAATAATCAGATCTATACCATAGTTTGTGAACTCTATAACTTTCCTACAAACTAAAAAATACATCCTAATTTGGGTTATTTTCACCAAAGACATGTAGCAGAATACATCTCGGCCTAAATTTATGAAGAACACTTATTTATTTGTAAACTTTTATAACAGAAACAAAGAAAAATGTGGGTTTTTTTTTCAAAATTTTTGGTCTTTTTTTGTTAATTTAGCAAAAAATAAAAACCCCAGCGGTGATTAAATACCACCAAAAGAAAGCTCTAGTTGTGTGAAGAAAATGATAAAATTTTAGATTGGGTACAATGTTGTATGACCGCACAATTGTCATTCAAAGTGTGAGAGCGCTGAAACCTGAAAAATGGCCTGGGCAGGAAGGTGTAAAATTGCACGGTATTGAAACGGTTAAACACCACTGGGTTTTTTATTTTTTGCTTAACAAAAAAAGACTAAAAAAGGCTTGGGAAAAAAAAAGGTTTTCTTAGGCTGACCATACATTATACAATTTTCCTGCGATTTTTGCTTTAGATTTACAAAAAAAACCAAAACCGTATGAGGTCAAACCCAAAAACAACACTTTCAATTGTATCTAATTAGGCAGGCCCTTGCACTACATAGTGGAAGGTAAATCTAAAGGAAATTGGGCAGAAATTGGACAGAAAACTGAAACTAAGGCTGGCCATACACTATACCATTTTCTTACAGTTATAATATTTTTCAAATAAGTAATTTTTTCTCTTTCACTGATGTGCACTGCACTGATGAAGCGGCACTGATAGGCTGCTCTGCTAGGCACTAATAAGGCAGCACTGATGGGCGCTGATGAGGCTGCACTGATGAAACGGCACTGATAGGTTGCACTGATGAGGAGGCATTGATTAGGCGGCACTGATAGGCAGCACTGATGGGGCTGCACTGATAATCAGGGCACTGATAATCAGTGCTCTTATTATCAGTGTAAATTTCCCCTGTGTGAATTGCTAGTTACCGGCTCTCTCCTCATGCTGTGACAGCGCATAAGGAAAGTGATTGGACACAGCTAATCATGTGGTAAAGGGCAACTGATTGGCCCTTTACCGCGATCCAAAGGATACAGCAATGACAGAACACACCGGGGGCTAGCCCCAGAGGGAGCGTGGGGGATGTGGTTCTGGGAGGATGTCTATAGATGCCCTCCCAGAACTGGATGGCTGCTCTGTAGTCGTCTTTTGGCTATAGCACAGTTGGGAAGAGGTTAAAGAGGAACTGAACTGTTGTGCCCCATAAAGGGATCCAAAGGATACAGCAATGACAGAACACACCGGGGGCTAGCCCCAGAGGGAGCGTGGGGGATGTGGTTCTGGGAGGATGTCTATAGATGCCCTCCCAGAACTGGATGGCTGCTCTGTAGTCGTCTTTTGGCTATAGCACAGTTGGGAAGAGGTTAAAGAGGAACTGAACTGTTGTGCCCCATAAAGGCAGTCTGATGACAAAGCACTTGTCACTAATATTGTCTGTGTTCTCTCTGCAGCTGAATCATTTTCCATTACTGACTTACCATGTCCTTGTTCTGCGCTGTGTCTCTATATGGAGGTGGTCATCATGGTAAAGGCAGGGCTTTGCTTCCTCATGTCAAAGCCTCCAGCAAGGAAAACAGTAGCAGCACGGTAGTGAAATCAGATAGCAGATATACAGCTATCAGGCTGCATTAAAGGGAGTGCCTAGGCACACTCACATACCAGGGGTACACTGATATTTTCAGGAGGAATTCAAGACAAAAAGGCACAAATAACTTAATAATTCTTATAACATGGCAGGTTTCAAAGTTTTGTTTTTTTTTCATGTTCATATGCAATGAGTCTTGTGAAGTACTCTACACAGAATGTGCACAGACACCGGATATACAGGAATGGTAGGAGGGCAGTAGGAGTGTACTTCCTGTAGCTCACACAGTATAACTTCCCCGCTTCCTATTTTCTTCAAAAACATTTACAGTAAACATCCAGTTTGAAACTGATTGGTGTCTTTGAGAAGTGGTAACTTTTTTTTCACATCTTGCTTTCTCCATGTCAGAGGCAGCAATGTATTCTAACATCACCAGCAGGTGCATTCCAGGATCACCAGACTACAGACAAAATGAAATGGGGTAATACCAGTACTTTCCTGCTAGCAGATGTAATATCTGACTACAACATTTTGAGGGAGTATGTTAGATTTTGATTCCGAAATTTGAAGATCAAAAACTGTATTTCCAAAGACTGCACAGAAGGAGTTGATTTTGAATAGAAGGCTGTGGATAAAGGACGTTTTTGGGCAGATTGATAACAATAGAGCAGACGGCCATCATTAGAAAGTGGTAAGTAAGCACCCAGGTGTGTTTGGGGAGGAAGGGGGTTTGGGTTCCAGATTATGTTACAGGGCTAGAGAGCATGAGAGGCTGAGAGGGAGTGTTTTGTTAAAATTTAATTTGACCTTTAAAGGAAATTTAAACTTTTAAGACCCATCATTAACATAAATAGAGTATGAACACATACCACCAAGAGAGTATCGGTCCTCTCAATAAACACCACCAGGAGTTTTCAGTAATAAGTAACTTGTATTCTCTATTCCATAAAAGAGCAAGCAAGAAAAGAGTCCAGCATCCTGTTTTTGTCCGAGTCGCTGAACTTTATAAAGGATCCACCAAAAACCAGTAGGATGCCGAAACTAATAAGGGCTCTTTTATGGAATGACAAAAAAGTTACTATGCACTAAACTGGTAGAGGTTTGTATAAAGTGGAAATATGCTTTCTTTGCAGTATCTGGAAATCCCATAAGCCGGGCTTCCATTGGCAACAGTGAAATGCAATACAGCCACAGCAGCTGAATATGCTGCTTGGCGTTTATGATCCCCCTTCCCGAAAAACACCGCAGGTATGACTGCCTGATGATGAATGCATTATAGGGGTTTCAGTTCTGGTTATAACCAAGAAAAGAACACTTGGATTAAATACTTAACAATTAATAAATGTATTGTTTCAAGGCTTTCCGTGTCTAGACAGATGATAGCGTGTAATATTAAACTCTCATATGGGCATTACCATTTTGAATAATTACTTGCTGTTTCCAGGCACAGAGAAAGTGTCAAGAGCTATCAACTCCAGATAGCTGTTCTAGCAACCAATAGGACAAGCTGAAACCACTGAGTTTCCACTGCTGACTACTTATTTAAGGCACAAAAAATGCAAGACAAAATGTACTCTTTTACAAAACTAGCTGAGGAATGAAAATCTATCTACATTTAACTGATGAAGACACATCCATTGCGTGATGTGACCATCATTTGGCACACAGTCACAATGTGAACTGACATACATTATTCTATTCTTAAATACTAGGAAGCTTGCCAGTGTATGTGAGCATGGGTACACATGTGTTGATGTCAAAATATTCAGACTGTAACACCTTAATGCTCACCCGGTAAAGAATAGAGTGCAGTATAGAACAGTGTTTGACTAATAAACTTGCAAATAATCGATGAAAGCATCAGCTTCATGATTTCAAGTAAGAGCAAATAAAAATGAAAAAAAAGTTCAACCCCTGCCCTCAAAAGAAAATATTAAAATAGATTACTAAACATATTGTGAGGCCACATCAAGTTATTCATCTTTTTTTTTAAGGTTTAGTGGTTTTGAACAATCTGCTCTATACTGCTGTATATAAATGTACTTATTTTCAATAATATTCACCTTTACTTTCCTTACTTTGCGAAGCTAATGCATTACCATATAAAAGCTAGTAAACATTAAACATATTGTCAAATCTACTATATCTATAGAATACGATATATATATATATATATATATATATATTGATTGGAACTTCTTGGAGTTAATAGTAAAGCTGGTACTATGATAACAGAGAAACATGGTTGCATATTTAGTGAGGGTTCATTCATGAAAGAGCAACAGCGCCCTCTCAACGTAGTCTTGAATAGACACAGTCAAAAGTACATACTCCGGACTCAATTCTTAAAAATTCAATAAACTAAATGTTGGTCTAATTTTTAATGTCTTTTCACATATAGAAATAATGTTATATTGCTTGCTTATAAACATCCTGCATAGTAGTAATAATAATGATTACAATACCAATTAATGAAAAAACATAAGAATGAGACATAGATAGATAGAAATATAATTAGATATTGATAATGTATAGATTGACAGACACAGATAGCAAAAATGTTGCATAAAATATTCATTGACTCTTTCTGATATACATAGATTTGCATAATAGTTGGTGCATTTGCATGATTATGATTAGAATTCTTCAATGATGATGTACCAATATATTATGCTATAATCATTACTATAATGTGGGAATGTGTGTGCATGTGTGTACAAAATGCACATGTCAAGTTTTGTGGTACACATTTATCCCATATGTCTTTTATAAACGTTTGCACCCCTATGTTTCCACACCTATCAAAGTTAAAGTAGCAATACATACATTGCACCACAAGTACTTGTCCTACTTACTTTAAAAGTAGTTAAACAAATTTACAAAGCAGAAAGCAGGACAACATTCACTATCAAATTAAACCTTCCAATGACTACACTGTCAAGTATTAGCAATTTATTTCAGGAAATAGATTTGCATAAACCAAATACTCACGATGAGCAGGAGAGGAAGAGTTAAAAGCAGTATAGAGAATATGGTCTTCATGGTATAGAGTAATTCAGGTTACAAAGATTCCTGGGTGGTCATTGCAATTCATTAGATCCAGCAGCATGTGGTCCAGACTTCCTTATAAATAACATTTCATTATATTCACATGCAGTTGATTCTTCTTCTTGTTTTGAAGATCAAAGTAAAACCTTTCTTATTGTCCGCAGCGTGAAAAAAAATTCAATGAAACGTAAAAAGAAAAAATGTAATTAAATAAAAAAAAAGAGATTTTTTTTTTCTCCAGAACAGATCCTGTAGAACTAGCCAGCACCTTTGAAACTGCAAATTATGACCAGCTAAAACAGAGTCAGTCTATGAAAATAACAACTTCCCTTGCTGAACTCCAGAGCTGTTGATTCAGAGCACTCATCGCACTTAGTAACTGAACTTGAAGCATTACAGGAGCTTCTGCAATAAGATGAAATCCTTACACGCAGCAAAGGATTTCAGATACTAAGGCATTACATATTCTAATGGCTGAGTGGGCAGGATCAGGATTGGGAGGGGGGGGGGGCTTGGATGATTGAGAATTAATTCAAAAAAGCCTTTACAAATTAAGCTTGAAAGCATGTAATTGCTTATTTTTTCTTCTTTGAAAGCTAGGAAAATGTTGTTCATTTCATCCTTTAAACGTTTGTAATAATTTTTACCTTTTTTTGTATTTAAAGCATGTAAAGTGTTAGCTAGAATATGCATGCATTGGATAGAAAGGGCTTTATTCAATAACCAGTACATAATTCTTAAAGTGCATCTAAACTCAGGATTAAAAATGCTGTGTATTGCAGCTTGCCAGTCCTTAGTGTGGTGGCTGCATTTGGTTTCCTATTTAAAAGCTTTTTTTTCTTTTCACCTAGTGATTCTGCCAATAACATACTTCTTGTCTGAACCTGGCTGATGGACAGTGTTAGAAGTTAATTTTCTACAATTCTGGAACTGTAACCGAATGTTTGGACAAGTGGATGAATGAAAGGTTCACCTCCTCCATTCATAGAGTGTTTTCCATCAATGAAAATTATACTGCACCTTTAATGAATTGAGAAGGGGGTGGAAAGGGTTGGCATAGTCAGCACTCTTGCATATGACAGGTCCTTCAGCTCATAATAACCCCTGCAGCATCAAGAGATTAGAGCTGAGGGGTGGGGTGGATGGGTCAGAGGATTTCAATTTTCAACTAAAATTGCAGCAAATGGCACAAGGGACACTTCACATTGATTGTAAATACAGTCCCATGTGCTGATTTAAACAAAAAACTATTTTGACTAATCGTAGGCTTCAACCACTTGCCTTCCTGAGGATTTACCCCCCTTAATGACCAGGCCTTTGTTTGCTATTTGGTGCTGCACTATTTCAACTGGTCATGCAATGCTGTACCCAAACAAAATTTATGTTCTTTCTTTCACACAAATAGAGCTTTCTTTCAGTGGTATTTGATCACCTGTGTGCTTTTTATTTTTTGAGCTATAAACAAAAAAAGACTGAACATTTTGAAAAAAAAACCCGATATTTTTTACTTTATATATAGCGAACTCAAAGTCATAATTTTAGGCCAAAATGTATTCTGCTACATGTCTTTGGTAAACAAAATCCCAATAAGTGTATATTGATTGCTTTGTGTGAAAGTTATAGCGTCTACAAACTATGGTTTAGATATACAGTAGATGCAATTTAAGCCATTTTTTTTGCTATACAGCACTGCACTAGTTTAACTGACAATTGCGCGGTCATGCAATACTGCACATAACTGAAATTTATGTCCTTTTTTCATACAAATAGAGCTTTCTTTTGGTGGTATTTGATCACCTGTGCGCTTTTTATTTTTCGCACTATAAACAAAAAAAGACCGATTAATTTTGAAAAAAAAGCAATATTTTCTCATTTCTGTCATAAAAAATATCCAAAAAACTCAAATTCTTTCAAAAATTTAGGCCAAAATGTATTTTGCTACATGGTAAAAAAAAATCCCAATAAGTGTATATTGATTACTTTGTGTGAAAGTTATAGTGTCTACAAACTATGGTATAGATATAGACTTCCTATCACATTTCTTGAGGTGCTAAAATACCAGGACATTACAAAACCCACCAAATGACCTCTTTTCGGAAAGTAGACACCCTAAGCTATCTGCTGAGAGGCATATTGAGTCCATGGAAGATTTTTTTTTTCCACAAGTTTTTGGAAAATGACAAAAACGTATTTTTTTTTTTTTACAGAAAGTTGTCACTTAATATATATTGCTCAGAAAAGTCATGGGTACAAGTGGAATTACACCCCAATATACATTCTGCTACTTCTACTGAGTATGGCCATACCACATGTGTGAGACTTTTTGGGAGCCTAGCGGCATATATGCTGTTTTTTTAACTGCGGATGAACAATCTCATCCAACAGCACTGCACATACCTAATTATGTATATTCTGAGAGTAAGACCATGTTGCTGCCAGCATAAACAAGTCGATGCTGCAGTTTAATGACATTCCTGCAAAGAATTTAGCAATGGTTAACAATAAAACAGTAACTCAATAACACAACTTTTTAATTGAAATATCTCTGCCAGGAAAAGTGTGTGGTATGCCCACCATTAGAATATACCTCCCTGCATCCACCCACTTCTAATGGTGGGCACACATAGAATGTGCCAAAAAATATAAAATATATACAGTATGCTGAAGCATAGGGACCATCCACCCACTGACCATCCCAGGCCCCCATGCTTTGGCATATATGCTCTTTTTTTAACTGTGGATGAAAAATCTCATCCAACAGCACTGCACACACACCTTCTTATGTATATTCTGAGAGCAAGACCCTGTTGCTGTCAGAATAAACAAGTCGGTGCTGCAGTTGAATGATATTCCTGCAAAGAAAACAGCAATGGTTGACAAGAAAACAGTAACTCAATAAAACAACTTTTATTGAAATATCTCTGCCAGAAAAAGTGTGTGGTATGCCCACCATTAGAATATACCTCCCTGCATCCACCCACCTCTAATGGTGGGCACACATGAAATGTGCCAACAAATATTATAAAATATATATGTCGAAGCATAGGGACCATCCACCCACTGGCCACCCCAGGCCCTATACTTCGACATCTATGCTCTTATTTTTAACTGCAGTTGAAAAATCTCATCCAACAGTGCTGCCCACACTGACATAAGTATATTCTGAGATCAAGTTCTTGATGCTGTCAGAATAAACAGGTCAGTGCTAGAGCTGAAAGCATTCCTGCAAAGAAAACAGCAATGGTTAACAGTAAAACAGTAAAAGTGTAACAATAGAACAGTAACAACAATGACAAAAAAACTAAGTATTTTTGATTTTTAATTATTTGGGGATTTGTACTTTTTATTTATTTTACTTTTTTTTAAAAAAAAACTTTAACTTTTTAAAACAGATTGTAGGGTCTCTCCAAATGCAATAGCCAGTTTCCTGACTACCTAACATCTTTCGAGACCCTGTGTAATTATGTACCCTCAACTGTGCCATGCTGCACCCTATACTAATACTTCACTAGTGTGTGGTAGCAACAGAAGCAGTCCTTGAGGCAGAGACCAGGTTGGTCAGGACAGGAGGAGCAAAAAAAGTGGGTGTCACGCCTAATTCCATGTCTGCTATAGACACATCTTTTTTGGGGTGTCCTTTGGGTTGGGGTACCAGGAATGTCATCGGGAAAATGCCCCTCATGCAGCCAACGAACTGCATCTGTGTTGGGGGTTTGGGGCACAGCACCTACTGGATACAAAAGGGCCGTGATGATCTCTTCCTGGAATTTTTGGAAGGATCCTCTTTGTCCAGTTGCTTTGTAAAGCACAAAAGCATTATATAGAGCCAATTGAAATAAGTAAACATAAACTTTTTTGTACCAGCGTCTGAATTTTCGGGAAACTAAGTACGGCGTCATCATCTGGTCCTTGAAGTCCACCCCTCCCATGTTAAGGTTACAGTCGTGGACCCAGCTGCCGTGGTTATTTTGATGGTCATATCTGTGTGAATGGAAGACAGGACAAAAACATCCCGTTTGTCCTTTTACTTCACTGAGAGCAATTCCTCATTTCTCAAGCAGGCTTTTTCCCCTTTTCTAAGATGGGTATTTACAAGCCTTTGGGGGAAGCCCCGGCGATTAGACCACATGATGCAACATGTGCCAATTCCAAGATTGTACAAATAGTGGCACGCTTGAATAAAAATTGTCCATGTATAAGTGGTATCCCATATGGAAAAAGGATGACAGCAAGTCCCAAACTATCTTGCCACTGCTCCCCATGCAGTCTGGGCATCCAGGGGGCTCCACGTGACTATCTTTCCCTCGTAAATCCAAAACTTATATGTATAACCTATTGCCCTCTCACAGGTCTTATATATCTTGACCCCATATCTGACATGCTTGCTGGGGAGAAATTGTTTGAATGCAAGGCAGTCAGAAAAATGAATGAGGGACTCCTCAATGCAGATGTTTTGCTGGGGAGTATACACAAATTTTTGGTTAAGGTGATTTACGATGGGCCTAATTTTGTGGAGCCAGTAAAATTCAGGGTCACCCTGAGGACGACAGAGTGTGTTGTCATTGAAATGCATCAAATGCATTATATTCTCATATCTATTCCTGGCCATGGCAGCAGAGAACATGCGCATATGATGAATTTGGTCTATGGACTAATACAACCGCAATTGACTTTTTTAGTAATTCCCATTGTAGCAATTGTGCGCACAGATATGGATGCGGACAACCATTTTGCTAAAATCCACCATCTTGTGTCATTCTCACTCCAAATCAGTCCCCCTTCCTTTTTTTGGAATGGCATGTGGCCTGTGTGTGTGCAGAGTTCAGGAGTGCACAGGGCACAGCTGGATACACTTCATGGTTGTAAACCCAATTAGCTGGTTCCATGAGGTCTGTCAGACCCTTGCCTTGGCCTGATTGTAAAGCTGGACATGAAAAGCATTCCAGAGTAGCAGTAAAAATACATCCCACTTGAAACCACTTTTTCATACTATT